GTTTGGCATCGCGCATTGTCCATTCCAGTCTCTGTTTTCTTCCATATTTTCGACTTCATTACTTACGTGCATCAGCAATATGCTAATTGAAACCAGGGTTCCAGTTCTGCGGCCTCAACTTGCAAACTCAGAAAGAATCTACTCTCGTGATAACTAACCCTGACAACTTCGACAATCTTGGCCTCTTCTTCCGTGTAGACCAACTTTTCGCCCGCTTCCTCTTCCAAACCGTATTTGTGAGCCGGAATCGTCTTCGAACCAATTTTGACCGAGTCCACATTGACCTGAATCATTTAGCATCAAAGGCACGGATCACGACCGAATTTGGGTTGTTCCACACAAAAATTAATCCTCTGGTGTGAAGAGAACTGACAAAGGGAGAAAAGATAGCAGGAATGATCACAAAGAACCCTGAAATTGATTGCCTCCTTTTTTGTAATGTTGATTGGGTACGACAGAAAGACACAGCGCGGCAACTAGAGGGATACGCGAGAGAGCACGTTGTTCGAGAGGGCGCGGACGCAGTGTGTGCTGTGTACGAGGGAAAATGGCAGCGGTCGTAGCGGTACACGCGAACTGTCCTTTAAGTATCATTTTTTGCTTCTTCTAAGTGACTAACATCTGAATGATCCATCAGAAACCAAAATTCATGGCGTTGTGAGAGCTTGTGAAGTTCCATAATGGCGCTTAAATGTAGCTTTGGGGGGGGGACGTCATTCAAAACAGGGCCGATGGTCGGTGACACTAGGGCTAAGCCCAGGAGAGGGGAGAAACATCCAGGGAATACAAACTGCTCACATCCTCCACAAAATCCCTTCCCCTCTCTGAGAAAACTCCCAATTGCTGTAAATGGCTCACTCACTTGTATGTCCCCCTCTCCCTCCTCTATGGACATGAGCGCCTCCATAATATAACGACACCAATCAAATGCTGGCCAGCTACGTGAGCGTTCGCTGGTCTGCCTATTATTTTCCCAGACTCACTTACCCAACGACCATCGCTTCCTGGTAACAGAAGCCCACGCTCGTGAGCGTACACCTTGCCACCGGGCACTTCGGGAACTTTGATTTCGCGATGTTCTGGCGGTGGAACCTTTCTTCGTTTCCACAAAGTGCTTCCGAACATGGTGACCTTCTCGCCGTTCATGATAGCCCATGCTCCCGGCACCTGGAATAAAATAAATCCTGTAAACATGGTACGTTCAGCGTGAAATCTTTATTCATTCTACAATACCGCCACTAACTTTTGAAATTTCTCCGCTGAGCGACGGATTTGCAGCGTCGCAAAGCGTCGCCCCTTCATAACTCCCCCCAAAGCGGGTCAAATGATTGGTGCTCTACACCATTGGACTCGTCTCTCTGTGGCGAGTCTAACCATGTGGAAAACTACGGTACTCGCCGTAAAAAATCGAAAAAAAAACGCGAAAAACGCGATTTCGTTTTTTCGTTATAACTCGCTTCAGAATTAAGATTTTCGAAATCTGAAAAAAGCATTGATTTCAGCTCGTCGAGTTCTATAAGAATGTGTTTTAAACTTTTGGAAAGCCCCACTTCAGATTGCGCCATGCACTCGAGCTTTGGCTCGAGAAAAAATTGTTTGAATGTGGTGCGCATATAATCCCGCTTATGCATCATGATCGTTCTTCAGAGAGATGGGTCTCAGCAGTTGCCCCAGAACGCGCCGCGTATTCAACATCGTCCATTGTATTGTGAATGGATCGATTGCTTTTTTCCAGATTTCATGGTCCCTATTCCATGCGGCGCGTTAAATGACTTAACACGTAGTCCCTGCGCTCAACATCTCCTCCTCTCGTGTTCAAATGGAAATCATAGATCAATTCTCGGCTGGACAGTTAGCCTATCTGGTGAAATTTTCCAATGTTTGAGCGAAGGTTTTTCCGAAATCTGAGGAGGTAGCGGGGAAATTTCTTCTTAGTTGTAGAGTACGCTTACTTGTGTGTAGGAATAAGATCACACACTTGCTTGCAGATGACCGCTCCCTGCGTGCTGTGGCCATGAACATGCCTCCTCGTCATGCCCTAGCCTATTTGGTGAAATTTTCCAATGTTTGAGCGAAGGTTTTTCCGAAAACTGAGGAGGTAGCGGGGAAATCTCTTCACTGTTGTAGAGTACGCTTACTTGTGTGTAGAAATAAGATGACATACTTGCTTGTAGACGAGCGCTTCCGCCGTGCTGTGGCTGTGAAAATGCCTCCTCGTCATGCCCTTGTGAAAAGATCAGATTTTTTGCATTTCCAGATGAACTCGCAGACTGAAATGTGCCCCGTTAGATTCCCCGTGAAAAATGCTATCGAATGATATGCATTACTCCTCCCAGTTGAAACTTTGGTTTTTCACCGTTTTCAGCCTTCCCCTATTGCCGATTGGGCATCATTATTCCACTATTACTGCCCCAAAATCTCAAAGTTTCATTTTTCGTCGAAACTTTGCCTATTGGGGTAATTCGATGCCCTGATTACGAATATGACATTCATTCTCGTAGTGTGGCCCCAAACATCACACCTCGCCCCATTTTTTGCGACATGTTCCATGTTTAGAGCAGATGTTATGTAGAAAGCTGTGAAGGCAGCGACGAATTTCCTCCACTGTCGTAGACTACGGTCACTTGTCTGTAGGAATTACATGGAAACCTTGGTGGCAGGTGAGCCTTCCTTCCGTAGTGTGACCCCAAACATCACACCTCGTCATGCCCTTGCGATATCAGATTTTTTTGGTTCTCCAGATGAACATAGAAGACTGAGATGTGCACCATTCAATTCCCCATAAAAAATACTGTCGAACGGTATACAACTCACTTTCTGGAGAACATCTAGTTTACCTGCCACTAGATCCATTTTGTGACATTTCCCAATTTTCGAAGGGATGTTTTGAGGAAATTCGAGAAGGGAGGGACGAACTCTCTTCCCTATCGTAGAGTAAGTTTACTTGTATGTTGGAAAAAGATGATACACTCGGGCTTGAGCGAGTGTTTCTTCCCTGGTGTGGCCTCAAACATCGCTCTCCGTCATGCCCTGAAATAAAAACCAGATTTTTTGGTCTTCCAGGTGGCTCTACGGAGCTGTGGTGTACACCATTCGATTCTCCATGCAAAATGCTATCGAACGATATACATCTCAGTTCCCACTTGAAACTTTCGTTTTTCACCGTTTTCGGCCTTTTCCTTATCGCCGATCGCCTTCCTCAGCCCTGGCCACCCACGTGCTATTCACGTGCGCGGTGCGTGACAGCCGATGGCCTTTCTCGGTAGCTGGCGGGCAGCCCGATCGATACACCGCTATGCGTGTCGAAAGTGCGTGGGAAAGTCATCACGCACCGCGCACGTGAATAGCACGTGGGTGGCCAGGGCTGAGGAAGGCGATCGGCGATAAGGAAAAGGCCGAAAACGGTGAAAAACGAAAGTTTCAAGTGGGAACTGAGATGTATATCGTTCGATAGCATTTTGCATGGAGAATCGAATGGTGTACACCACAGCTCCGTAGAGCCACCTGGAAGACCAAAAAATCTGGTTTTTATTTCAGGGCATGACGGAGAGCGATGTTTGAGGCCACACCAGGGAAGAAACACTCGCTCAAGCCCGAGTGTATCATCTTTTTCCAACATACAAGTAAACTTACTCTACGATAGGGAAGAGAGTTCGTCCCTCCCTTCTCGAATTTCCTCAAAACATCCCTTCGAAAATTGGGAAATGTCACAAAATGGATCTAGTGGCAGGTAAACTAGATGTTCTCCAGAAAGTGAGTTGTATACCGTTCGACAGTATTTTTTATGGGGAATTGAATGGTGCACATCTCAGTCTTCTATGTTCATCTGGAAAACCAAAAAAATCTGATCATATCGCAAGGGCATGACGAGGTGTGATGTTTGGGTCACCACGGAAGGAAGACTCACCTGCCACCAAGGTTTCTATGTAATTCCTACAGACAAGTGACCGTAGTCTACGCCAGTGAGGAAATTCGTCGCTGCCTTCACAGCTTTCTACATAACATCTGCTCTAAACATGGAACATGTCGCAAAAAATGGGGCGAGGTGTGATGTTTGGGGCCACACTACGAGAATGAATGTCATATTCGTAATCAGGGCATCGAATTACCCCAATAGGCAAAGTTTCGACGAAAAATGAAACTTTGAGATTTTGGGGCAGTAATAGTGGAATAATGATGCCCAATCGGCAATAGGGGAAGGCTGAAAACGGTGAAAAACCAAAGTTTCAACTGGGAGGAGTAATGCATATCATTCGATAGCATTTTTCACGGGGAATCTAACGGGGCACATTTCAGGTCTGCGAGTTCATCTGGAAATGCAAAAAATCTGATCTTTTCCACAAGGGCATGACGAGGAGGCATTTTCACAGCCACAGCACGGCGGAAGCGCTCGTCTACAAGCAAGTATGTCATATTATTCCTACACACAAGTAAGCGTACTCTACAACATTGAAGATTTCCCCGCTACCTTTCCTCAGATTTCGGAAAAACCTTCGCTCAAACATTGGAAAATTTCACCAAATAGGCTAGGGCATGACGAGGAGGCATGTTCATGGCCACAGCACGCAGGGAGCGGTCATCTGCAAGCAAGTGTGTGATCTTATTCCTACACACAAGTAAGCGTACTCTACAACTAAGAAGAAATTTCCCCGCTACCTCCTCAGATTTCGGAAAAACCTTCGCTCAAACATTGGAAAATTTCACCAGATAGGCTAACTGTCCAGCCGAGAATTGATCTATGATTTCCATTTGAACACGAGAGGAGGAGATGTTGAGCGCAGGGACTACGTGTTAAGTCATTTAACGCGCCGCTGTGGAATAGGGACCATGAAATCTGGAAAAAAGCAATCGATCCATTCACAATACAATGGACGATGTTGAATACGCGGCGCGTTCTGGGGCAACTGCTGAGACCCATCTCTCTGAAGAACGATCATGATGCATAAGCGGGATTATATGCGCACCACATTCAAACAATTTTTTCTCGAGCCAAAGCTCGAGTGCATGGCGCAATCTGAAGTGGGCTTTCCAAAAGTTTAAAAACATTCTTATAGAACTCGACGAGCTGAAATCAATGCTTTTTTCAGATTTCGAAAATCTTAATTCTGAAGCGAGTTATAACGAAAAAACGAAACGCGAATTCGCGTTTTTCGCGTGTTTTTTTCGATTTTTTACGGCGAGTACCGTAGTTTTCCACATGGTTAGACTCGCCACAGAGAGACGAGTCCAATGGTGTAGAGCACCAATCATTTGACCCGCTTTGGGGGGAGTTATGAAGGGGCGACGCTTTGCGACGCTGCAAATCCGTCGCTCAGCGGAGAAATTTCAAAAGTTAGTGGCGGTATTGTATAACTTTTAATTCGTAATAAACATAAATAATGAATACACACAATGAACAAAGAGATGGACGCTTTCTGTGCCGAGCGTTTGTTAGCAACTACTGGTCTTGTGAAATTACTGCACTCGTTCCTCATTTGCTTTCACTCGAAAATTGAACAAAGCTATCAAACAGTCAAATTTGAAGGCTACTTATGTGAAATGGTGGGTGGTCATTCAATTGAGCAGGCAGCCGCAACGCGACCGCACGCGTTTTGGCAGCAGCAGCGTTCATGAGTGCATTTTTGATGTTTTTCGCCCCCTGGTTCCAAACTAGCTTTTGAATATGTCCTGTCTTGAAGAAAATACTTTTTTTTTAGGCTTGATCGGA